ACTCTTCTCTACTGGTACTCCCTTCCCTGGGGATTTCTACCCAGCTTATGGTGTTAAATAACATGTATTCTGAAGGATGACAAATTAACATCTCCAGGCTTCTTTCTACTTTCCCTGCCTTCTCTATAGAATCTCCAACATGATTGTGAAATGTAACATATGTAAAACAAAATTCTTTTCATCCCCCTAACTTGCTCCTCTCAGAATTCCCTGTCTCTGGAAATGGCAGCTTCACTGTTTCACAGCTTTGGAGTCCTCATTTACTCTTGCTCCCTTCCACCCATCAGCAAATCTTGAAGTTACTTCCTGAGAAAGAGGCTCAGAATCACATTCCTCATCACCCCAGGCTCCCACTCTCTCAGAGCTGCCCTCTCTCCCACCTGGATTGTTGCAACAGCTTCCTACCTGATCCCCCTGTTTACATCCTTGTTCATGTGGGAACCAGAGGATCTTTTAACATGCTAAGCCACATCCTGGTCACTGCTTTGCTCAAAACCCTCCAATGACTCCCATCTTACTTGGGGTAAAATCGAACATTCATTCCACCTCCCACAAGATCCTCATGAGCTGGCATGCTCATTTCTTTCTTCATTTCTTACCAGTGTCCCCATCTCTCTCTGTTCCAGCCATGCTGGCCTCCTGGCTATTCCACAATATGCCAACACATTTCCACCTCAGAGCCTTATACCTGCTCATCCTCCTACTCAAACTGTCCCACCATGGCATCCACATGGCTAGCTCCTCTTATCTCAGATCTTCAGCAAGAACCTCCCAGATGACTCTAGACAATATCCTAACCTGCACCACCATTTTCTTCACCTGTTGACTTTCCTCCACAATGCTTGTTGTGTATAGTACTCACACCATGAGTTATGTGTTTGCTGGTAGTCTGTTTTCTTCCCCTAGAGCTTAAGCTCTTCAACACAAATTTGTTTCTTTACTGCCTTTATTCCAAGTGTCTAGGACAATGTTGGCACCTAGAAGCTACCCAAGAAATGTTTCCTGAGAAAATATGTTGGAAAATGTATTTGAATTCTAGTTCTTCCTGTAATACCTACATGATCTGGGCCAACCACTTCACCTTGTGCCTCAGCACCCTCAGTCTTCAGAGGAAACAGCCATTTCTGTCATTCTAAATCCAGCAGGTAGTGAAGAAGGACCATCGAGGTATGGATTGGGCAATCATGCTATAATCAAGACATGATGGACAAAATGAGTAAAAGATCAGTCCCCCTCCACTCAGTTATGCCCAAATTGGCAAATGCATCTTGGTTACGAGAAGAATGTTACAAAATTCTTGTTCATTTTCAGAGCATTCTTTGGCCCAGCCCAGCTTGAAGAAGGGGCAGGGGGTGGATAAACTTTTCTAGTAAAAATTTTTTTTACATTGAGTGCCAAGCCATGACATAGGTGGCCCATGTGATCCAACCTCAAATTTACCACAGGTCTACCTGAGAAGCCACCTGAGGTCCTGGGGGTGGGGAGGGGTACGCAATTCAGGTACTTGAGGTTCTTCATCCTAGCATCTAGCTCAGAGCAGGCATTCATAGTTTACTGGTGTGGGCCTCACTGAATTTTTTGCTAAAGAAAGAGCTCACTGACAGCAAGTAACTATCCCCAAACTGACCAGGTCAGAAATGATGTTCCCGGCACTACCCTGTGCAAGAACCAGAGCCTGCAAGAGCTCTGCAGGCAACAAGCAAGCTGTTCAATGAACTTTAAGTTTCTTAAGAACTATGGAGGGCGGTTGGTACAGTCTTGTACATCCAGGCAGCAGTAGGCTGTGTACACCCAGCATAACAGCTTTTCTTTAATACCTTTTGAAAGAAGCCTAGAAAAGTCTTCAGTGTGCAGGGAGGGCAAGGGCCGGGAGAAAGCCTTCTCTCAATCATGCTTCATTTTGCACTACCTCCTGGTTCCATGTGCAGTTTCAGGGTTTTGCCATGGCCACTGTGGTTGCTATGGAAACAGAGCAACAAACATTTGGAGGCCAGCAACACCTTCCCCCTAAAAGCAGTCAAGAATGTTTGGGACAAGGCCTCTGCCCACCAGGCTGCTGTTGTTGCAGCTGAATGCAGCCTTTGTGACCAGCCTCCTGGCCTGCCACCAGCCTCCAAAGAGATGACTTGGCCCAGATCTCTCTAAATAGTGTTTGTGTTTCAGTTGTGCACAAGGAAGAGTGGGCAGAAAGCGTCACACAACTCTAAGAAACTCATCTGGCCTATAGCTTCTTGTCAAGTCAAAAATGATGCTAAATCTCACCTTGTGAATTTCATTCCAGAGAGACGAGCTGGTGCTGTGGGAAGGGTGCAGTTGTCTCTCACAGAGCACAGCATGTGTGGGGAGCTGTGTTCTTATAGGGGCCTTGATCCTCCAGGTGATTTCATGGCATAGGTTGCTTCTTGTCCTCAGACTAAGGAGGGGTGGTACTGAGGCTAAGACCTCTGTCTGTTAGGATTCCTACTGGCATTACTGAAAAGTTCCCTAGATTTTAGGGATGGTGGCTGGCAACTTTTTGGAGCCTCTCACCTTGCTATATGTTGAGTCAGTTTTGTGAGAAAAAGAATACGGTAAAACAGAGAGATGGGGCTTTAGCTGGGCTTTAATTTTACTTGCTCGTGGGAACTTGATAGGGCTGTATCATCACATGTAGGCGTTGTGTGATTTCACCAGCATGTGAAGGTCCACTGTTCTCTGCTGGCTCCAGCTCTATTTGGGAGAGAGGAGGCTGGGAAGGAAACTTGACTTAAGGCAGGTGTTAGTTAGAGGGTTAGAAAGGTACCATTGTCTCCTCTGTAATAAACCGCTTGGTTTCCACCTGCTGTCAAATTGCAAATTCATTTACCATTAAAACACTGGGTCACTACTTCATTAATCTAGTAAGACTTTATTAAATGCCTACTGAGGGTCAAGTACTGGGCTGAGCACTGGGGATAGAGAGATGAATAACATTTAACAAGTATTTATTGAGTGTCTGCTCCATGCCAGCTAGTATGTTAGGCCATGGGGGTACAACTTATCCTGTCCCCTCAGGGAATTGCTTGTGGATAAGCCAAATAAATAGACACTTGACACAGCAGGGATTACTTCATCCTTTGCAGGTATTATGCTGCTAGGGGAGAACCCAGCGAGAGCACTTAAATTAGGCTCACCTGTCCTATCCAAATTGTAATCACCTGCAGCTCTTGGGCACATGAAATGTGACTGGTCCCAGTTAAGATGTGTTATCAGTATAAAACCCACTGAGTTTCAAAGTCTTGGTATAAAGACTTAGTATAAAAAATAGAATGTAGATCTGGCCAAGATACATACCTGTAATCCCAGCTACTTGGGAGGCAGAGTTGGGAGAGTTTGAAGCCAGATCAGGCAAAAAGATCAGTGAGACCCTCATTTCAAAAACAAGGTGGATATGGTGGTGGTTGATGCCTGTGACCCCAGCTATGGTAGAGGGATTTCTGTCTGAGACTGACCTGGGGAAAAAAGCATAAGACCCTACCTGAAAATCAAGTAAAGCAAAAAAGGGCTGGGGTGTGGCTCAAGTGGTAAAGGTAAAGTGCTTGCCTAGTTAAGCCTGAGGCCCTGAGTTCAAAGCCAAGTACTACCAAAATAAAATGTAAGATATCTCATTAGTGATTTAAATTGATCACATGTTGAGATGATAAGATTTTGGATATATGAGGATAAATAGAATCTATTATAAAAACTAATTTTTTTCATATCTCATGATGCCATTTAAGCCACCCATCAACCCATTGAGGTTCATATTATTCTTAGAACCATCTAAGAATACAGAATGGAATTGCAGTAGTGAAATGCCTTGCCTAAGGTCACATAGGTCAGGGAAGGTAATTCATTTGTTCCAAACCATACAACTGGATGTTCCTGCAGAGAAAGCTCATTTGGATTAAAATTGGGTTTTCAATGAGAAGTTACTGAACATGTGTCTCTATCGTTTACGGAAGGTCCAACTTTTTGTCAGAAACATAAACCATATCTAGTCATGAATCTGTTTTAGAGAGCAGGGCAGATAAATTCTGAAAGCCAACCATTCATACCTGTGGCCTCCTTAACAGTAAAAGCCCTGATTTTGAGCCGGGCAGGTGGCACTGGAAATAATGTCAGCAATGCTAGCCTCCATTATGGCTGGGGGTTACTGTTCTTGTCCATGGGATATAAGCAGAAGTGGTATGTGTGACTTCTGCACAGTGTTCTTACATGCAGGGAACATGGCCCTTGTCCTGTTCTTCCACCTTCCTGCATGTGTTGAGGATGGTAGAGCAACACATCAGAAGGAGCCTGGGCCCCTGTCACCACAGAGTGCTATTCCAACCCACACCATGTCCCTTTGGGTTTCTGTTATGTGTGAGACAATTAAATCTCATGATTACAGTGAGTTTTCTCTCATAGACAACTGACCATAGTCCTCTTAATACTATTGTTATGGTTTGGATGTGGTTTTTCTCCCTGGGCTCATGTGTTGGAAACTTGGTTACCAGGGTGGTGATGCTGAGTGCTGTGGAACCTTTAAGAGGTAGGTTCTAGTGGGAGATGTTTAGGTCATTGTGGGCACTACTTTGGAAGGGATTAAATAGTTCTCATTAGCACAAACCTGGCCCTTTCCTTCTCTTTGGCTTCTTGTTCTTCCATGTGATCTCTCCCTCATTCCCACCATGATGCCTGCTGCCATGGGTGACTATGGCAAATTACTCAAAATCCTCAAAAGTCAAGTTCATAGAGTGGAGGATGGGAAACCAGTCAATATACAAGATGATCGGGGGATGGAAGGAAGGGATGCCTCTGAATTACTCATCAGGCAGAGTGACTGGACAGGTGCTGTCCTTTGGACCCTCTTGTGAGAGAGGGGAGTGGATTCAGTGTAATGTCCTTTAACCCACCCCACCTCCTCCACCCACTCACAAGGGATTTCCCATGCTGTCTTGGCTGACCTGTGAGATCCCTAGGCACACCTGTCCAACAGGATAGCACTTCTCTCTTTTCAGGTCTGAAGTTTACCTCATGTGTGACTCAGCATAAGAGACAGATTGGTTCAGTGACCCATGGGGAGGCATGTCCAACAGTGCAGTGTCACCCCGCCCAAGTCACAATGGCCTGTGCTGTGAAATCTGGCAGAAAGGTTATTACAACAGGTCTGAAGATGTCTGACTTGGTCATGGAACACCAGGTAACTGTATGCACAGTTTTTTTTCCTTCTATTAAATGGGTATAGTTCTCTGGGTGCTTACATAATAAATTCTCCCATCAATTTTCTCCACTGATATTGACTGGGCACCTGTTTTCATGCCAATGTACTGGGGATGGAGGAATGAAGAGGACATAGGCTATCTCTCAAGGGGATCAAGTTTTTACAGGGAATCAGGTAAAGGAAAACTCTGGCATAGAACTGAACTTTCCAAGACACTTGCTTAAGTGATCTCATGTGTGGTAGTAACCTGTTACCTGCCTTTGACAGATGAGGAAACCAAGGTAACTTGACAAAATGATTTGGCATTCCTGGTGTCCTGCAACATTTTAGACATAATTCTGCCATATCCCTGTTCACTCTCTAGTGGGAGTAGAGGGCTAAATGTTTATTCCTCCCACAAACTTGAAACTCCCTTCAGGAAGATCTAGCTTTGTAAAATCTCTTGGCCACCAGTATCCAGCCCAAGCTTGACACATAGCAATAGAGGGCTGGTGGAAGGAGGAGGGTGGAACTAGAAGGTATGGAGAATCTGCAGTATGCCAGGCTTGGCCTGGCATGTCACATTTGTTGCTGGTTAATCTGCTACAAGCACTTGGCATGGTGGGTATTTTTACTCTTTTGTGTAGGAAATGTGCCAGACACTGAGATGAGTCATGAGATTTGCTCAAGGTCAAATTGAGAGTAATCTGAGAAGCTTCAAACTCAGAAAATGGCCCAGGAGGTGGTGTGTGTAATGGGATGGGGGATGAGTAGTGGGGACCCTGCAGTCCAAATGCAGAATCAGAACAAAGTCCCTGTAAAGCATTTAGCTGGGACCAGAAGCATCTTTATCTACTAGACCTGACTTGATGCTCAGGGTGGCATGAACGTCGGTATTTTCTCCACTGCAGTGCCCAGCTGCCCCACAGACCATTGGTGAACACTAGACAAACAAACATTTGGCTGGGAAAACACAGCCTGAAGAAACCATTGCAATGCTGAACTCGCATTATGTGTCAAGGCACTGGGGTCAGCCACTGACTTCTGCCTTCTCTTTTCATTCTCTCATCATCATGATAAAGCAAGTGGCTTGAGTTTCACAGAGAGAAACTGAGGCTTAAAGATACGGGGAGGGGGGAGGCCTGATTTCACAAAGTTGGCAAGCAGCTTTGAATTCAGGCCTCTCTGGCTCTCTTGGAAGGAAAAGGGGTGTTCCCAACCTCCCACTGGGCTGAGCTATGCTCAGGGGTTTCAGAAGCCTGCATTTAGGGCCCCAAACCTGAGGGCTCCTCCACGGTAACTGGTGAGGGAATTTCCCAGGAGTCCCAGCAAAATGAGATGAGAAAGGCCTTCAGCAATCAGTCCACTTAGAGGAAAGGATGGTGGACAGGAAATTGGGACACGAGAGACTCATGAGTCAGCAGCGTGGTGGCAGCTGTCAAAAAAGCTAATGTGAGCTTCGATTGTATAACTAGGAGCACACTGTGTCAAACAACTAAGGTCACAGTGTGCTTCCTCAGTGCTGGAGCTAGAGCTGGAATGTGGGCTGAAAGGCCACTATGACAGTCTGCATTTTCAGATTGTCATAGTCAAGCCAGAACTTCTCCAAAAGACCATAGCTGGAGCCCAGAAGTCAATTTCATCACAGGTCTTTCAGCACTTTCATGTGGGACAAGGTCATCTTGAAATAACCTTGAGATGAGGAAGGTGGGAGAGTGGGCCTTGGGTGTCTTGGAAGTGTCTCTATGCACAAGGCGGTAGATTCTGTGTCTAATCCTAAGGGGAAAATAGGACTCAAGTGAGGAAGCTAGATTTAAACCCAAGCTGAGTAATGCCCCTAGACCAATAAAGAAGACAGCCAAGCAAGGAAAGGCTTTTGGAGAAGAAAATCAAAGAAACTCAGGGACTCCTGCCCCTTCTGTGTGTCCTTCCCTGTTACCTATGCAGGTGACCTAATCTTTTTGAGCCTCAGTTTCCTTGTCTGAAAGATGTGGGTGTATCACATAAGATTCTAACAATGTCTACACTCTGAAGGTAGTGCAGAGAGCAATGGCTCTGTGTATGATTCTAATCACTGGGATTTAAATCTAGTTTAGGATGGCCTTGGTGATTTGTTTTAACTTTACAGTGCCTCAGTTTCCTCATCTATAAAGTGGGGATAATATATGTAAAGTACCCAGAACTGTGAGTGCCTCCTCACCATCACTCTTCTATCTGAAAGTGACTGTCACAATGTATTTCCTCTTTCCTCCTCCCGACTGCCCCCTTCAACCCACCTGTGTTTCCCCCTCCAGGAATTCTTTCAGGGTGTATCTGGGATGCAGACTCCTTTAATCTCCAGATTTCTATAGAGTGTTTCCAAATGATGCAACATCTTCTTACAAAGATTCAAAGGCAGCCACATGACTGCATTTGAATCCCCTCTTAGTGAAGTAAGATGTAGAGCAAGGAGAAAGGCAGCTCCCTAGTTTTAGAAGGTTCCAATTCTTCCAGCTTCAACGTCTTTCTTCCGCCAGTACCTCAGTATTCCTGCAGTACGTGACCTATAGGCAGTGAGCACAGGTTTGAGAACTGAGACTCAGGCCCAGTGAGTCACCAACACCTGAGTGGGTATGTCAGGACCTGAATCCAAGGCTTTCAGTTCTGAGCACCAGTATTGCATGAGGCATTGCCCAGCCTCTTGTCTGTCACTCTTCCCCGACCCACACATCCTCCTGCCCTGGGATTTTGCTAGGGAAAGCAAAAGAAGGGCTCTCAGCCAGGCTCCAAACCTTGAGGCCAAATCCTTACAGCATTAGAGAGGACCAGGGAGGAGAGGGGAGCCAGGAACCCAGGATGCTTGTGCAAATCTGAGCCCCTCGAGTTGGAGACCTCACCTGGACCAGTCCTCTGGCAACATCCAGAGTGGATGTCAGGAGTCCAGATCCCCACACCCGCCCTCCCAGCCCACCACTGCCCAGCAGGATTTGTGTGATAACACTGTTGTGTCTGCACTGTCTGGTACTTGAGATGTGGCCCATGTGACTGAGCTCCCACCACCCCTGTTTTGTAGCTGAGGGAACTGAGGCTCAGTCAGACAGCTTATAAGTGCTGGCTAGTAGGGTTGCTGGGATGGAACCCATCTCATCTGACCCCAAAGTCAAGAACTTTATGACAGCAGCCTCTTGTCCTAATCCCCAAGGAGAATCTTTGCACCCTTTCAAACTCAGATAGGTAGTGGGGTCATGTCTGCCTGTACAAGGGATCTTGCTTCCTGCCTGGCTCCACCTGGATCCAGTTCTATGAGGCACCTGTGTTTTACTGATAACAGTGTTTGCCCTTCCAAAGCCAGAGCTATAAAAGGCAGCTTTCAAAGTCACTGCTGCATAAATGTCAACAAGAGGGGGAGTCCAGTTGTGGTTTCTGAGGTGAAATGTCACGTCTGGGCTGCCTTAAAGGCTGCTGGAAAGATCTTCTGAGTCCAGGGTCCTGGCATCCTGATTTGCTTCTACTACAAGCATGCTGTGTTACCGTGGACAGGTTTCTTACTTTCTCTGGGCCTTTTTTATCTCATCAGCATGCAGGGAGGGTTGGACTTGGAAATCTTAAAGGACCCTTCTACCTCTAAAATTTGTAGTGTCCTCTGCTTGGACGTCCAGCACCCAATGCTCCAGTTAATAACAATTGCTTTATGTAGCAGTTTCCAAGATAAAACCACCTCCAAACACCTCCAATCTTCAAACCACCTCCAAACCTGAAACTGTTTTATTCCCCCTTGGGACATTCAACAATGTCACCCTTGAAGCAGTAGAGGTGCTGGTTAATATCTTGTAAAAAGCGATTTTGCGATTTTTCTCAATGTATGAAAAAGCCTTCCATTCTCAACACTGGGCCCAGAACCTGGGTATAAAGCCACAATCACAAAGCTCAGGTGTTTAGACGGATTGCCTGCATTGACAATGCAGAGCAATTTTCTCAACTTTAAAAATGTTTTCTCCCTCCTCTCCCTCTTCCCCCCCGCCCCCCCTCCCGTCTCTGGGGTTTTCGCCCTTGCTTGTAACTTACACCACAAATAAAGCCTTAAGCCTCTGGCTGTGAGGCTCAGAGCAGTGACTGCCAAGAACAGCATGGTTCACGTGGGCCCTTTTTCTGCCGCTTTGGAAGCCAGATCCCCAGAAGACAGAACACACACATTTTTCTCTTTCTTTACTAATCACAAAAATAATAACAAAAATATTGCCTTTCACGCTGGCTGGGGAAGGGGCAGACTGGTGTTTGATTGATGGTGGCAGAGGGTGAGTCAGGACCCAGGCACGGAAGCCAGAAACATTCCCGAACCTCTCCCAGATGAACGCTGTGCTACTGACTCCCACTTGAATCCTTTACCCTAGAACCTGAGGCACATAGGTGTCCAGGCTTGTGGTCAAGTGAATGCATGTCCACAAACATCCTTTCTTATAAACACTGGGATACACATTCTCATCCTCATTCTATAGCAGAGGAAACAGGCTGGCCAACTCATTCGGGGTCAGGGTCAGGGTCATGGACACAGTTACCTGATGGAGAAGGGGTGGGAAACCAAGCTGGTCCTCCATGTGCTCCTAAAGCTTTGTTCTTTCTGCACCTGCATCTCAGCCTTGGATGAAGCTGAGGCATGTTGAACAAGGCCTGCAGGGTAAGACTTCTTTTTTTTCAAGTGTTTTCTCCTACAACTTCAAAATTATCTCATTGGGGATGACACTGACAACCAAAATGCCAGGTTAGCCCTCTTTCCAGCTACCTGCAGGACAGAACTGCCTGGATGTATGCACAGTGCTATATACACAGTGCCTGGCTCCAGTAAGTACATCAGTCAGCGATGTACAGATCAGGGGATCACCTGATCCCCTGATGCCCCAGTGCCCAGACAGGACTTAGTGAATAGTTGGCAAAAAATGACTGAATAAATAGAAGAATGCATATTCCCTTCCTCCACCCCAATACAGTTTATTTTCTGGATCACCTACTTCTGCCAATGACATCACCAGCCCTCTCCAGTCTCTGAAACCAAAAGCCTGGGACTTCTCCTA